AATAAAGATTGCATATGAGGAAATAATGCAGAGAGAAAGAAGTGGTTCGTAGAAAGATAAAGTTATTCTAATCTCACGGTTTAAGAGAAGACAAAGTGTATACACCTACGCCATTGTGATCGATCCTCATCCATGTCACCCAGAGTTTCCAACCATTGTTTAAGATAGTCGCGCGGATCCCAACCTAGTAGTCTGCAACTACCAACATTGCTCAGACCAGAAGTTAGTAACTTCAAGGACTGATGCCACGTTTTAGTTTGGCCGCCCCTTTCTGTCAACCGTCTTCAACACTAGTCAGCATTGAGCGTCGTGGTAATCGGTGTTCAGGCATGCGTAACATGTAGCCCAACCATCTCAGTCGGTGACGATTTACGACCATTATTCCCTAATACCCTGCGCTTAATCTCACTATTATTTAACCGGTGATCCCAGTAGATGCGAGCTATATTTCTAAGACATCTGTGATCAAATAATAGCAACTTACGTGTGGTGAGTTAAAAAGCTAGTATTTATCATTCATTCATGATGACAGTTGAACGGAATTCTAAATGATTCAAGTGTTAATGAAATAAATTTAATATACATGTTTTTCATATCACAATAGAAGTAGGCTATTAAATAAATTAGTCGTTTAATAGTTGGCTGTGGTAATTAACTACCAATCATTGAACTTTTGGTCAACTAGATAATATTACAAAACCCTCTTACAAAATTTATAGTTTAAATAATTAATCACCAAGATCATAATCAATGCAAGTTAATGTACTGAGCTTAAAGTCCCAATGTTTATATAGAGACTAGTGATCTTGTTTCACAGTTCAAATAGTAATAAGTAGATTGAAGTTCGAATCTGTTATCTACTGGGTATACATATAATTACAACTTAATATTTATTACCAACTGTTTCTTCTTTTAAAGTACTTCTAAAATTCGACTAAAATGTAACTGCTGAAATTGTTCAAACTAACACTTAATAAATATAGTTCGTCTCTTATATTTTTATTTTATTATTCAGATCAAATATTGAATGTATAAACAATTTGAAAAAGGGAAGTTTACCATTCTTTTCATCATCATTAATATCTAATGAGAAATCAGTTGAAAATTTAATAGGTTTTTGTCATACTGATCAATCTCCTATAGTTTCCAATAATAATTCTTGCAGTTCAATTATGTCTCTCAATGATTTAGCATACAGTAAATTTCATGAAATCTCTCCAAAATATAGTGATATAAATTGTTTTTGTACTCAAAGTTGTCCAATAAATTCACATCAATTAAATGAACTACATCTTGATAATGAGATATCATTTACATCATGTGTATCTGATTGTTGTTTTTGTCAAAGATACCTCAATTACTGTGATCATAATCGGTTAGTTTCATTTTCTTCTAATAATCAATATGAACAAGATGATCGAATTGTACAATCATCACATCATCATGATCTAAAACAACAGTATTACCACCATTATTATTCTTGTCAACATCATCACCATTATCATCATCATCATCACCGTCGACTACAACATCATCATCATCATCATTTAAGTCATGATTTCAATCAACGTCATATAAACTTCACGAATAATCAACACACAACAAATACATATTGTACAAATTATCCAAAACAAAATAAAGCTGTAAGAAATTTTCATTTGAATTTAGAAAACCAATATACTACTATTGGTCAACTAGATCAAATGAGATCTGATTGTAGGAAAATATCTCCATCGGATAATAAAAAAATTGATTGTTCATCACCTGTTATCACTTTACAGTGTTTAAATTTTACAGAAAAACATTCAAATAGATTGGACGATAATATTGGCAATGTAACAAGTGTAGATAATAATAATAATAATAATAATAATAATAATAATAATAATAATAATAATAATAATAATAATAATAATAATAATAATAATAATAATACAATAGATAATGAGCATTCAATCAATACAAGAAATATCTCATCATGTTTCATAGATTATCATCAACTTCATAATCAAACGCTTGTACAAAATCTTGAGCATGACGTTGTTGAGCATATGAATGAAGGTGACAAAATTGTTAAATGTGCAAACTCAGAAATTATATGTTCAAATTTAGTTAATGGTAAATCTTTTGATGAAAAAGTACATTCGACGAATATTTCAAAACCTGATATTACTACTACTACTGCTAATACATTTCTTCATCAAAAGTTTGTAACAGATTTGATACTTTTAAAACGCGTAAGTTATTTATAAATAATAATTGAATATATTCACTATTCAAGATTTAACTATTTTCTATATGTTGGGTTAGAGTTGAAATACAAGGACGAGCTTGAGAGAATCGGGGAATGAGTTTGGCAGGCTGTTAATACGTTCAGCTAATCAGAATACAACGAATGGATGAGGGTTTTATAATGCCATGATTGGGATTCAGAATTCTTATTGAGGCCTAAGAGGATAATTATTTGGGGTTAAGATTATGATATGTAGTTCAGGTACTAGAGCTAGAATTAGGATCTACACCTCATAATTGACGGTTTAGGTCTTAAAAATTGTTATTGGTTTTGCCAAACCCTGAACTGTACATCCTAATTTTTTTTAAATATGCTATAATATTTTTTGAGTGAATCTTTTCAGGATGGAGTTAACCGGGAGAAATACCCTCGTTAAGTTATTTACTTCACCATCCGTAAACGACATTCCCAATTTAAATATGATGCGCCGTGACGTTCAAACTATTTGTGCATTCACTACCTCCCCGCTCTTATTGTTCAGCTTTGTTATATCCTATGACCCGTCAAGTATCATGTGACAAAATCGCTAATCAAAATATGAATTTCTATGACCTTGTCCCTGTGCTACATCAGTGGTGTGTCAAACAGCACCATCAACCTTAAGTTAACTCATTAGTCTTCTGTATAACAACTCACCTAGCCCATCTTGTTTATTCTAGAACACAAATATCAGCCTCCAGTGTGTGAATTGTATATCTGAGACATATGTGCTTTATATACAAGCCGACCAGACTGCATCACACCATAAAATTAAAAAAAATTATTATATAAGATCAAGTCAAAAGTGGTTATATGGGATACTGTAACTAATAAACTGGTAATAAATTAAGCAGGGTAAATTGTGTAACAGTAGCCAATAAGTCAAATGAATGCTAATGACAAGAAGAGTATGATTATACGTATAATCTAGTCACCTAGTAATTATCCATTGAGAATCTGTGTAATAATAATTCACAAATAATTCCTAGCGGTTACCATTCATTTATTCTTCATTCAGATATAACAAACTCAGCTAATGTTGGTTGTTTTTTCGAGATTATAGTAAAGAAAAGATCTCAATAATGGTATTCCTAAGTTTTTTTTTGTTAATCACTGTAATGTAAATTTCAGTTATGATCATATTAGAAATGATGCTAATTAACTGGGAGATCATAATAATGATAATTTTATTTTGGATAATATACCGCTTTATTTATCAGTTTAGATATTATTTGACAATCCAAATTAAATTGTTCTGTAAAAATAAAATATTTAGTACTATGTGATTGTGGATTATAATCTTCAAGGGATTATCAATTAAATTCAATTGGTTTTCGCATTTAAATTACTTTTAAGTATTAACCAATGCTTATAATCACTTGTATTACATTCGATTTAAGAACTTACACTAATGTACATATACACTGGATTTTTTTCTTTTTCATTTAAAGATATGTAGGATTATTTCAAATTAATAAGCTTAGTAAAATGTTTCCTCTCTTTAACCATTTTTCCATACTTATTGAATAAGTGAGAAAATTCTTTATGAATTTTGGTTCAAGTACTTTATATTGATTAATTCTAAAGGGTTTTAGGGACATTTACAAAGAGTTAGTAAAATTAAAATAATTTAAGGAGCTATCCGACTATTATCACTTTGTACTATAAGAACTTTTGTGATTTGTCAAGTTTCATATATCTTATTTAAATCTCCAACTCTCAGGCTGAATTTGGTTTGTAGTTTGTATCTTCTCATTGATATCGATGAATTTGCTTTATTCTAGATGAGTTTATCTCAATGGAATTTTATAATTGCAATATGAATGCTACGTAAAAATGTACTTGAGTCAACAAAGCGAAGAATGCTCGAGTTTCATTTTGTTATATTTCAAGACGTTTACACAAATTTTCTGTTATTCATATTTTAAGTACACGAACCAAATAAATTATCCGCTTCTCTAGACATCCATATTGTACTATTTACTTCTTATCAATAAGAAACAAGTTGAATTTTTCAATTTTCAATTGGATTTCTAAGTTTTTATTCAAACGTTTTACAAATCTTTTTATACTACTCATAAGTAGTGCAATAAACAACATTAAATGTTTTTCTATTAAAGATTGGTTGGTACTGGGGTCCATTGACAGTGGATGAAGCTGAATTGCTATTGAAAAACTGCACAGATGGAACTTTTCTTGTACGTGACAGTAGTCATGATTCATATATTTTAAGTGTCAGTTTTCGCTCTGGTGGTCAAATTTATCATACAAGGATTGAACATCTGGCTGGTAAGTTATCTTAACAGTAGGAATCGGTACAATAAAAATAGTTGTTAAATACCTTACATATTAAATCTTATCTTATAACACTCTCAATTATACTTGAGTTTGTATGCATTTAAATCTATTAGGCTTTTTAATTAACTTATCTAATAAACGATATCGTCCGGTCGGTAACAATTTGTCTATATCTTTACGTTATTGCTATCATGTTTGTATGATCATTTATGGATAGATCACACATTACAGCCCGCACGTATATAGGCCTTGCTGGCTTAGATGTTAATTAACTAAATAATTCGATAACTCGTTCGCTTTCTAATATATATGTGCATCTTAAAACCCATTCTTTTATAAATTCTCCTGCATTCTCATTTTATGTTTTCTCTTCGTGTATTTGATGGTCTTGTTATCGGTCCTATACGATGGCAAACTGTAGTCGTCTCTTGATACTGTCTTTTGAATTTATACACCTCGGGTAGTTATTTAATAATGATTATCGGAACGAATGATATACTAAATATAGGAATTATCTCGAAGATATCCTATTACAATCTAATCAAGAGAACTTTATATATATATATATATATTCTTCCTGTCCCATCTTATATGATGTTAAAACGGCTCGTAGTTCCAGACTAAGTGATTGATGAAATTGTGAAATCCTGGAATCAAAATGCAAGATTTGTCTATGACATGGTATTGTTACTAATGATGCAATGCATTTTCACAAGCGCCAATTTGTGAGCTATTGAAGATATTTACACATATCAAGGTACGGACAAAGAAGAAGTACCTTCTGTGATATTTATACAGGAATTATTTACAAAAAGCATTTGGTTGACTAAGAAACAACCAGTAGCTCAGTCAATTCATCAACTAACAAATTGAAACGATAAATGTGCTCAACAAGTATGTGCACTGTTACAAATAACCAAATGTTTAATGAAAACAAAAGAAATGAATACAAACGGCTAAGGGTGTTAATTAAATATAATTACAACAGTAAATAGATCAAACATCACATTTTCGTAGAAATACTTAGTAAAACCATATATTAACGGGGTAGATTCATCGTCAAGCGCCTAAAAGTGATTGAGGACGATATAAGTTACTAAATATTAGTAAGTAGTATAAACGAGCAGACATAAACAGGCAGACTCTAATTACAGTCTTACTTTTCGAGTGGTATCAACAACTAAAAACAGGAATTTAAACCAAAAGAACAGTAAATTTTATTTGATATTGGTCCTGTCTATATTGCTAATGGAAAGCCTTACACTTCAGAAAATTTGTGTTCAACGCACAAATAACGAGTCTTATATATTGTCTTAAAAGGCATAAAAGGCTTATTGCAAATGTAAAAGTGTCATTAAATGTTATGGTTTGAAGTATTAACGCTGCAATTACCATGACAAGACAAGTCTTTTGCGGTAAGGTTTGATGTATACAAGCAACCAATTAGTCAGTCTTTTTCTGTAGTGGTTAGTATTGATCGAATTTTAATTCACTAAATTAAGTATCTTTTACTGCCTTACTGAAGAACTGTATTTCGAGTCTCTGAGGTTTCATTACAATATCAGATAACTTTTGAAAATTCGGATAATAAAGTATAAACCTAGATGTTCAATAGTCTGGTAAAGTTTATTCACCAATCAACACTGATATAAATGTTAATCATGAAGTTGTTTATTTTACTGAGATTCTAATTTCACATGTTACGTCACAGAATGCTTTTAATTAGACGACCATTGAGATCCAGGAATCAATGGAAAGCTGTTTCATCTTAATATGAGATTTCTCAGCAGTGCACATCCACGACCCTGCCATAACGGACTGACCCAGAACATTCAGTCTCATTGTGTGCTCTTAATATCTAGACTACCATACCGTTACCATTTCACGTTACTGCACGTTCAATACTTCCTAGTTTCCAACGGTTTTCTAGCTAAGATTAGTTTATGATGTAAACTGGAAATTTAATAATCTTTAGAAACTTCCTATCTAAAATATTTTTAAAATATTCATTTTATTACAATAGTTATCCTATGTTATTTGATCATTTATAATTACAGGTAAATTTAGCCTGGCTCTGTTAAATGATTTAAATGACAATGTTTCATCAAGTGTAGCTGAATGTATTGAACGTGTAATGGTTGATTCTTTTCAAGATCGTATGCATTTTTTACCAACTCTTGATGACTCTTCACCATCTATTAATATTAATACCAGTGTACAGTTTATTAATAATGATCAACATCAATCTGACCAACATCGGCAACTTCAACAATTTAATAATAATAATAATAATAATAATAATAATAATACATCACAACCATTCGAATCCACACGCCGTTCTACCTCTACTACACATATTAAAGCTTCTTTAATTCATCCATTGTCACGTTTTTTAATTGTTCCATCATTAGTACATTTATGTCGTTTTGAATTGCTATTACATGTTCGACATGATCATATTGATTTATTACCATTACCACCGCATATATTACGTTATTTAAAAGAAAGTCAATATTATGCAGAATTTATTCCAGCTTATTTAGAATTATTAAGCAATATGAATAGTAATAATGATAAAGTTTAATCACAATTCTAATAATAATAATAATCAAGTCAATTTACATGGATTTCTTTGTTTTATTGTAAAGAAATTTACAATTAGCATTTCTATTATTACATTCCAATATATAACTAAGAATTTATTATTATTCATTCAGTATGTATACAGTGATGAAACGATCATAGATTATCATGACATTGGATAGTCTACAGAAATTACTATTATTCTATAGTTTTATGTTGAGTAAAAACAGAAGAAAAAAGAACATTCTGTTTTGATGTTGTTCGTTTAGTTCCATTTATTTGTTTGTTTCACATCTATTTTTTATTGATTACAGTTATTTATGTGTGTGTGTGTGTTTCTTTTAATGCAACTGTTGATGTTGTGTTACTATCATGTTGATTAATGAGAATTTACCATTGTGGATATCACAAACTATACTACTACTCAAATCATGAACAGTAGTTCTTTTTTACTATAACTAGTTTGTTTAGTGAATATTTAAACATATGAATACAGAATTTGTTTGATTATGGTTCCTTCTTTTTCTTTTTTTTTCTCTTAAAGAACAATCAAGAAAAACTATGTATGAATTCTACCTCACACTATGCCTGTAAATATATGTGTTCTTTTCTTCAAATAATTACAATATATATATTTACGGAATTTTTATTCATAAATTTTAAAGTGAGCGTTTACTTCATAAATATCCATATAAACATAAACTTGACTTAAAAATCAATATGACATTCAAACGGATTCGAATATTGAACATCAGTTCTTATTTTTATGTTCTCTCTTTATTGATTATTTGTTATTGTAGTTGTGTTTTGTTCTTCTTTTTTTTCTTGGTTTTATATTATCGACAGTAATAATAAGATGGACTTTTACAACATAAACTTCATTATTTTACTAAATTTTCCATCGGTTATTATTATTTGTGTATATAAGTGTGCTAATCGTATTGTTTAGCTTATAGTCTTACTAGTTTATTTTGTCTTTGTTGTTCTTCTGGTTATTTTCACTGTTTATTTTATATAGCTGTTATTATCAATGTGAATATTTCTAGTGGGTAGTAGTAGTAGTAGTAGTAATTGTATTAAATAGTAAGATTTAATCACTGTTTAAATATGTTTCAATGTTCTTTACGTCTGCCTACTGAAATATTAATGAACTGTGTCATAGTGTTATGACAATCAATCTGTATTTTGTTGTTTTAGTTTACATTACAAACACAAATATTAATGATAATAAATAGTTCATTTAAATGAGAGATAAATTTTAACAAAACTATTGTACGTGTAAAAATAGGCTAATAGTTTTATTTACGTTTTCAGATAGAAATAAGTAAATGTAACGTACATAGATTTATGATTAAATGATCGACAAATTATAAATCCACACTTCATATCAATACTTCTTTTAGTTTTTAAATATAATTCATCTAGTTTATTCAATTGATTGTACTGTTGAAATCAAGCAAAATTCTTCTTAGAAAAGAATGAGTATGTGTAAACAACTACAATAGTTTACCATCGTAATTATTATTATGACATTTAATAGAGCAATTTTTCTTTTCAGTCCTTGTAAAGATCTAATCTGAAACACTTAAACTTCACCTTGAATATATTTACATTAGTTAACAGAAAGTATTACGTAATATCTGGATAGTTTAGTTAAAACTGTGAGTTTTTTACCATTGTGACAATGAATTCTTAAATGTTTGTTGGTGATTGGCAGAATAGTTGGTTCGTCAAAAACGTGGTAAGAATTTTTAATGTTCATGTTTCAACCAAATATTAGGTTCTGCCATTTAGAAGAAGAGAAATTAATGGATCAAAACCACTTCGCACTGTTCTTGTTGACTTCTTACAACATAGACCATAAATCATAAATTTCTATTTTGATAGTAGAGATTATATTGAGTTAATCTCTTGGTTTTTCTAAAGACTAAGTTGAAAACGTAACAGCTATCTTTTACAATGGGATGTCAGTTAATATTCTTATCAATTATCATCATTAGTTACAGTGAAAAATGTAGTCTATCTCAAGGATGATATTCAACATATTGATTATGTTTCTATTGGTTGTAAACCGATTTTTACTCAATTCGATTTAGTGATTTGCTATATGTTCTCAAGATGGCTATTGATATCTGTTCATTCTATTTATAATCATAGTTTCCAGTAAGGGGTTGTCGAGATTGTTAAATTTCATTAGAGTCATGAACCAGTTGAATTTACACAATCATTCAAAGGCTGGGAGCACTAGATAGCCGTCTCTTCCTAGTATGAGACCCCTCAGTAATGCCCATCCACTACCTCGCGTCCGGGAATCGAACTACTGAGGAGTACCATACTAGAACGAACCAGTCTCCCAGTGCTTCCAAGTTTCTAATGGTGATCTAACTTAGATAGCCTCATGGTTTCAATCATAATCATTGTGACAGAAAGAAAGTACTTGATTCTTTTGAGCTCAGCATTCCGCAAAAGCGTAGTCAGAATATAGTAAACCATATCTTTCAAACCGATGTTGAACGTAATATAGCGAAAATAGCCCCTTTAGTTGTAATGGATGATAAAAGTTTTTCATCAGAGGCTAAAGTGAAGATTGATTATAAACTAGATGCTGGGGCCAGTATTATTATCCCTTGCACATATGATACCAGTAGGATATAATCACTGCCCATCACATAAGGCACTGTCAGTGACATAGAAATCGGTTATAAGTACGTTGATGAAGGTAGAGTAGTTGGTCAGTCACTAAAGCCTTCGAATGCTTCGGCTTTTATAGGCATATTGTTGTAAGTCCTGTGCTTCCGATTGACACAGAGTAGTTAGCTAGGAAAGCAGTGCTTGACTTTTCAGAGACGTCTTTACGTAGCTGGAGGGATTTGGGTAGCCAGAGTAACGGAAAGAACACACCGAAAGTCTCTCCAAAGCATTTTCGTCCCTTTTTCTTGTCATGTATTCTAACCTTTATCCAGATCTCTTTTAGCTACACTTTATGTTCTTCAGTCTTCCTTGTCTTGGCTTTGATTTTTGACTTTGATTAAAGATTTACCATACCACAAAGTTACGCGATGGCTGGCAGATAAATTAGGACCACTTCGTCAACGATTAGCCACCTATACACTAAAGGATTCATTTGCATTTGCTGACAGCTTGAATTACATAAACATTGCTGGTAAGTTTATAGTTTCTTTTGATGTGACATCATTGTTTACAAAAATACCACTTCTTGAAACCATAGACATAATTTGTCAGCATCCTGACATCCTACCGCTACCAGCAATAGAATTCAAACGGCTATTACTCATGTGTACGAAAGATGTTCAGTTCCAATTCAACAATACTATATACCGACAAACCGATGGTGTAGCAATGGGAAGTCCGTTAGGCCCTGTCCTAGCAGATGTTTTTATGGCTAACCTCGAAAGAACCAAGCTCAAAGGAGCGATTGATGAAATGATGTATCATTCGAGGATGTTGATGATACCTTCATCGTATGTAGTAATCAACAACACGCAACAAATCTGCTAAAATTTTTCAATGAAGCTCATCCAAATATTCGTTTCACTATGGAACATGAAAAAGAAAACAAGTTCCATTTTTCTCTATATCGCGATGAAACGAAGAAAGGATGGTACAGTTCAACGCTCGGTTCATAAAAAAGACACATGGAATGGTAGTTATCTCAGTTTCAACAGCTTTTGTCCAATCAATTATAAAAAGGCACTTGTCAAAACATTGTTTCACAGAACAGAAAGAATATGTACTACCGATACAATAGAAGAGGAAGTTATGAATGTTAAAAAGTGTTTAAAGAATAACGGATACCCTTTGAAAATTATTGAGAAATATGGAAAACGTGGAGATAAAATACACAAAGAAACTACAGTAAATAAAAAACCTGTTTTTATTCAACTCAAATTCAAAGGTGATAATGTCACAGGGTCAATCAATATGAGAGTAAAAACTGCATTGACAAAAACATATCCTGCAGCTAAATTGATTGTCCTGTCCAAAATAACATGTTCCTTGACACAATCAAAGGTCGACAGGTATCCCTTTCATAATACCACCAACTGTGTATACAAATTTACATGTATCTGCCAAAGCAGTTACATTGGTAGAACAGAAAGGAGAGCCTAAGTTCGATTCAAAGAACATATTCCGAAGGGTTTGAGATCAAACGGAAAAAAAGCATTCAGCAGTGCCATTGCAAGACACCTCCTTGACACAGGACACGAAGTCGATATACTGCAGTCCTTCAATGTGATCAACAAACAATCAAATTCAAACCTTTTTAAATTTGCCGAAGTGATAGCAATCAAACGTTTAAAACCAGATCTTTGTATACAAAAAGAAACAGTAATAAATCTTTCTTTGCCCTGGTAACATTACCCCCCTTCTTTATTTTTATTTATTTATTTATTACGTCATTCACTATTCCAACTCTTTCCGAATTTTAAAGTTACATAATTCATAACTGACCAATTTCAATTCATATCTCTCTTTATTACCATTAATCTATTTTCAGTTATTTTATTGCATAATAATCTAATGTGTTTTAATTCCATGATTTCTAATCACTATTTCAATGTTCTGGAACCTTCCCTCCCAAACTCTATATATTCGAAACAAAAATTTTATGACCTTATTAACTCTAACGAAATCTTTGCTACATCATGTTACATATATTCATCCTTCATCACCCTCTGATGTATAAGTATGTCAATATCTATAATGACGTTGAATTTCAAATATTTTAGGTTGTAAGCAGCTGATGAGAACCTAATGAAGTAAAATGAATTCATATTATTCTGCACCAACCTTTGTTCTTGCTCTCTTTAAAGATTTAGGTTTAATTACTTCATCTTACTGTTGTATGTTACCGGACTATTAACAATAAGGTTGTGTTTGACTCAACCCAAGGTCATGGCGTGGTTCAGTATATAATTGTCAACCTTTGACTGTCTGCTTGGAAAGGTTAGTGCATTTTTGCAGATAGATATCTGATCTCATCTTTTTTGGAAATATTTTTTTATTGATTGTCAGCACAGGGTGTAACGTTTGAGGTGTTTAGTACTTTTGATATTATTTATTTTCTATCCTAATTTAGAACTGCTTTAACTGAACACAGAGTTTGTGCTTTGATATATTTTAATACGAGTTCAGTCAGTCAGTCAGTAACAACGTAGAACTTCGTACGTACGTACATCAGTTCGAGTTGCCACACCACATTAGCCCAGAGATGCAGTTGTCGATTCAATCCCGTAGTGGTAGAGGTAATAAGAGTATAAGCAGTAATCGGGAAGATTAGGGTTTGGAGATGTTATTTAAAGAGTATAATACACTGAAATAAATTTGGAAGAGGAAAAAAGGGACATGAAGAATTCAGAAGATTAGAATTTGGGAGAACACAGAGAGTGGATGCACCTGCGCCATTGCAAACGATTTTGAGCCATGTCATTCAGGGTCTCCAACCATCGGTTGCTATCATATCGCGGTCCCCAACCAGGTAGTCTACACCTACCAACATGACTCAGTTCACTTGTCAGTGACTTCATGGATTTGTGCCATGTTTTGGTTTGGCCGCCCCTAGCTTTCTTCCAACCTACTCCTATACCACTGAACATCGCACGTCGAGGCAGTCGGTCGTTGGGCATACGTAACACGTGTCCCAGCCATCTCAACTGATGAAGTTTCACTACTTCATCAATTGATTTGCCATCCTTACCTAGTACCCGTTTCCTAACAACTGTGTTACTTACTCGATGGTCCCATGATATACGAGCAATGTTTCGAAGACACCTATGATCAAATACTAGTAACCTACGAATATCCTCTACTCTTACCGGCCATGTTTCACTGCCATAAAGTAGGACGGAGCGAACTGCTGCGCAGTAAACACGTCCTTTGATTGATAGACGGATATCTCGCCTACGCCATAAATGACGCAAGTTGGCAAAAGCTAGTCGAGCCTTCTGTATCCGTGCTGAGATTTCGTCACACACCAAACCACAAGGGCTGATGAGACTTCCAAGATAAGTGAAGCGGTCGACACACTCAACTACTTCACTCCCTATCACTAGTTCGGGTGTCGATGTAACCCAATCCTGAAGCAACATTTTGCATTTCGAGGGAGAGAATCGCATCCCGAACATGCTTGCATTGTTGCTTAGAGTGGTCAGAAGACTCTGCATTTTGTCAGCGTCTTCACCAAATAAAACTATGTCATCAGCATATTCTAAGTCAACAAGTGAACCTCCCGGTAGAAGTTCAACCCCTGGAAATTTAGATGAGGAGAGTGTTATCTCTAAAAGTGCGTCGACCACAAAGTTGAACAAGAATGGGGAGAGTGGACAGCCCTGACGAACACCACTTGAGGTAATCAAATCTGATGACAGTTCGCCATAAGCTCTCACTCTACCAGTTGTGTTCGAGTA